TATATAAACTTTTCATATAATCTGAAAAAGAAATAATATTTTAAAAGGATTTATTTTATTGAGAAAAAGTTTGAAAAGTTGGATTTTTAAAAAAAACTAGATATGTATTTTTATGCTTTTATTTCTCTTTTATATATTTTTTTTCTTTTATAGTTTTTTGTTAACTAGTGACTTGATAAAATATGTGATAGTGATAAACTACTGACAATTATAATAGAAACTAGAAAGATTTTTATTCAAAGTATCTATTAAAGATTTTTTATATCTATAACAAGTTTGTTAAATATAATATAAATGTTTAGCTATAGTATTTTTCATCCTACTCTAATAAATATATACTTTTGTTTTCTTAAGATTAATAAACTATTATTTAACCTGACTGTGAATATTGTAAAAAAAACAATAAATTGTTATATAGTATATAATAGATCACTTCCTTTATAACAAACCTATCTTCTATTTTTTTTTAATAATATTTCTTCTTTTATTAACTTTTCTAATTTAAAGTAATAAACCCTAAATAATGTGCAATATTTTATAAATATACGACAATAAAAAAAAATACAATAGTTTATTTTTTATTTCCATTTTGTATAAATTATTTATTTAAGACAAAAAATCATTATTTATAAAACTGCAACATTTAAAAGCAATAATTTTATTTGAAGCACAAAATAGTTGCATTATCACATCTATTATTTAGGAATGAAATATACTAGGATTGTAAATCTGTTATCCGTGGATTGTAAATTTGCATTCCTTCTTAGGTCAAAAAGTGTTATACTATTCGTTAAGAGGCATAAAGAGGTCGATAATTCTATTTCAATGCTTAACAAACTTTTTTCTTTGAATCTGACCAACTAAAAACACAATAATTTTCATACAAACTAGTATCATATTACAATGGGCATACAAAGTAAGCATCGAAATAAACTATCGTCTCGTATGGAAAGGGATTTTCTCTATATAAAGATTCATCTTGGCGATCCATGTTTGCTTACTCAATTCAACAGAAATTTAACCTTATAATTTCCGTTAGGATAATTGAGGATGAATCAAATCTGCTGAGATCGGTGGTCTAAGCTGTCTGTGTGGCATTATGTTGGGATAAATCATTAACTCTTGGTGTTGATGGCGTAGCTCTTTTTTTTTTGTAATCCTTAATTGCGGATTTAATGGCATCTTCAGCAAGCACTGTGTTGAGACATAAATATAATTAGTCATATTATATAACAGTTAGGATGACAAAATTGTAACACATACTTGAACAATGAAGCTTTACTGGTGGTAAACATAATTCTCTTGCAATTTCAGTATTCCTAATCTGACTTGCTTCCTCTAAAGACATACCGCGCACTCTCTCGGTCATATAACTAGATGAAGCGATGGCAGAACCACATCCAAATGTTTTAAATTTAACGTCAACTATTTTACCAGACTGCTCATCCACCCTAATTTGTAATTTCATGACATCCCCACAGGCAGGGGCACCAACCAAGCCAGTTCCAACGTCCAAATCATTCCGCGGTAATGAGCCAACATTGCGAGGACGTTCGTAATGGTCAATGACCTTTAAGTAAAATTATCAATTAGTAATTTGAAACCAAATAACACGTTCTAGATCTTACTGACCTTTTCATGGTATTTTCGTGTCATAGGGCGCATAATTATTTGTGAAGTAAATGAAGAGAAAAAGCCAACATTTTTAGAAGTGACTGCTCGTAACATTTTAGTATACAGTAAATGAAACGTGCGATTCAAAAAAAAAAATCTTTCAGTAGAATGAGATTCTTATTTATACAAATACTCTCACGCTTATCAGATAGGTGCTTATCAGATGCGTCGTGCTTATCAGATGCATGCTTATCAGATTATTTTACACAATCAATGTGGTCATCTTATCTATTCGGTTAAACTTTTACCATTTATTAGTGCAATCTGTTTTTGAGGACGTACAAGTATTCTTATCATCATAGAATTACTTAACTTGTTAGCTAGACTCTGTCCTTGTGTACTTCGATTTACGTGGTACATTGCATCAAATGATCTTGACCAGTAAGCAAATATGACTAAAAGAAATATGCGCATTTATGTATAATTTTTTATTACATAATTCCGGAATATAGTATTATAAATATAAAAAGGTATTATTTTTTATAATATTTGTAGCCTGGTTAAATATTTATTATATTTAATTATTTATTAAAAATTTTAAATTAGATTTTAAGAATAATAATATATATGCAGTTTGGAACAAAACTTTGTCTTTTATTTTTTATTATAATTTAATAAATAATTATTTAATCAAAATAAAATTCATTTTATTTCAAAAATTTGATTTAAAGTTAAAAAATAACTTTAAAATTTTTTTATAAATTTTTATATATAAACTTATAAATAAAATAGTTAGAGAATAAATTTTTTACTATAATAAAATTTTTTAAAAATAATTAATTAAAAATAAAAAAATTTTTTTAACATATAAAAATTTTTTTAAAGATTATTAATAATATATTAATATATTTAATATAATTTATTTAACTTTTATTTTATAAATTTAATTTTAAAAATTTTTTAAAAAATTCAAAAATAGTAATTTAATATTAAATTATTATTTTTTTTTTTTATTAAACTTAAATAAAAAAATTTTTTTTTTAATTTGTAACTATATTATATAACTTAATTTTTATTGAAAAATTTATATAAATATTTATAATATTATAGATTTTTCATATAAAAATTAACTTTTTATTATATAAAGTACTTTAAATTAAGTTTAGGAAACAATATTTCATTTTTCTAGAATATTAATAAAAAACTTTATCTACTAGATTCATTATCAATAGTTTATTATTGTATATTATTTGTAACTATAAATTATCAAGTTAAGAAAAAAGAAAAAAAAATTGGTGTTGAAAAACAATTTATGATCTTATTAAAAAAGTTAAAAAAAAAAACAATTCTTTTTTCAAAAAAAATCATTTAATAAAGATAATTTTCTTACTTTTCTAGAATCTTTAAAAAAATCTTCTTTATTACTTTTTTTTTTTTTTAAACCCTCTGTCAGGCTAGGTATGTGTGCTTTATTAAACATATGTATACTTTACATTAAAAAT